CTAAGCTCTTTGTACCTTTAATTCTTTTTTTAAAATACATTTTATTGATGTTTTTACAGAGAGGAAGGGAGAGGGATAGTTAGAAACATCGATGAAAGAGAAACATTGATCAGCTGCCTCCTGCACACCCCCTACTGGGGATGTGCCCACAACCAAGGTACATGCCCTTAACTGGAATTGAACTTGGGACCCTTCAGTCGGCAGGCAGATGCTCTATCCACTGAACCAAACTGGTCAGAGCATGTATGCACCTTTAACTCTTGTCACCTGTGCCCCAGCCAGGCTGGAGTAAATCCGAGACATGGTGAAGATGATTATGTGGAGACTATCTCCAGGAAAACTCCCAGGTTTTATTATCCTTTTGTAACTGGACAACCAGAGGGTTCTGGCTGCCTGTCCCTACCTGAGCCAATTCAGCAGAGACGGGCTTGAATCATATAGGAGCATTTATTCCAGTCCTGCCGGCAGGAGGGGAGAGCAGCAGGTTACCCACAGAAATCTGCTCTGCACCCCACCATCAGCCACTGCTTATACTGGGTAGAGCAGTGGTTCTCAACCTTGGCTGCACATTAGAATCACCTGGGAATCTTTTTAAAATCCTGATTTCTGGACCTCATCCTCTGGAAATTTTGTTTCTTTGTTACTAATGTTATGGCCCCACCCCATAACAAAGAAACAGAATTTCCGGAGGATGAGGCCCAGAAATCAGGATTTTAAAAAGATTCCCAGGTGATTCTAATGTGCAGCCACGGCTGAGAACCACTGGGGTGGAGGGACAAGGCTGGCACGGGCAAGTAGGAAGGGCAGGCATGGTACAGTGGCAGGCTGCAGGGTTCCAGGGTACAGGCAGTGTGGGGCGGCAGCGGCGGGGGTGCCCAAGAGAACGGGTATCTTTGGCGCCTCCGGGACGAGACTGTTTAACCTTTCCATGACAGGCAGTTCTCAGAAAAGCCGGGTGGGCTGCAGTCTGATGTTAGCGCCCATGTGCCAGGGCGCACCACTCTCAGCCAGGTCAGAATGTGCTTTCTCTGGTCAGGACAGAACAATCATGGCTAACAGAGCATGGCGAATATTTCTTATGACTATAGCTAGTCCCCACTATTCCGTTTCTGCCCCTAACACTTTCTGTTTCCCAATGAGAAAACAGAGGCGCAGGCAGGATGAAGGGGACATAGAAAGCAGTGAAGGGGTCTAGGGCTTTACGCCCCAAAGGGCCTCGGGGTGTCCGGCCTAATTTGGAGACCAGGGCTTGGGAGCCCAAGGACCAGATTTTAAGGGGATTTGAAAAAGTATTTTGTCAAGGAAATTCCAAGAAAGGCCCTGGCAGCCAGCCACTCCTCTGTGCAAATAACTCATTCCTGGTGGGAGTGCCTTTATTCCCGGGCGAGGGTACCAGCAAAGAGGACGCTGCTGTCAGGGGGAACCTCAGTCCTCCACTTCCGCAAGGTGAGAGGGGGCCCTATTGGAGGACTTCCAGGGGCTTCGGGTCCTCTCATTGGCTCCTGCTTGTGGGCGGGTTACCTTTGGGGATTGGGGAGATGAAAGAGAGACGGGTGTCTATGGGGCCATGTTTCTCAGGGGGTGGGGCTAATGTTCATTTAAGCCAAATATAAATTCCTCACTCCATCCCAGGTTGTGCCGGCCTTCCTCCCACCACTGTCCCTGGTTCGCTGCTGTGGCTGGTCTTTCTGTGCTATGAACACGCCTCCTTAAAGACCTCCCTTTAGCTCCCTCCCGCGCCCCCCCACCCCACCCGATCTCAGACCCTGTTTTCTTCAGAGCACTGTCAACTGATGGTTGTTGGCACCAATTTAACAGCAACAGGAATCCCCAAGTTGGGGTGTGGTGAAGAAGGAGACTTTTCAGAGTAAAACAGCTCAGTTATGGCTCAGCACGGCTGTGGCACAGCATGGCTGGAAGGCAGCCCGGCGGCCCCTCTCTGGCCAACAGCTCCGCTCCCAGATGCTCTGCTCCTTGATGTCTCACTTTGAAGAGACAGCTTCAGTGTTTCAGCTCAGCCAGGCAGACTCAGTCTTCAGTGGGAAGAAAAAGTGCCTTCTCAGAGCTGGCGGGTAGCTGGTTTATATGGACAGGAGTCCCTGCCCTTGATCCCTGACTGGTCTATCCACATGTAAATGAGGACTCCAAATCCTCACAATTTGATTGGTCCAAAAGGCACTGTCCTGATTGGTCAGGATAGAGCCACTCTGGTTGGTTGGAGCTGCACAGCTCCAATTGGATGGGGGAAAACCTCAGTCTTATTGGTTGAAATAGGATCCCAAGAATTCCTTTATAAGGGCTGGCTCAGATGGCAGAAACATTGTGCAGGCAGACAGTTCAATGCAGGCTTCTCCCTGAGGTGCAGTTTGTATGAGAGTTCTGTGCATGGCTATTGCTGCTAGGGTCTGTGTGTTGTGTTTGTTTGTTTTTAATTTGAGCCCAGTTAGCCACCAGGCGCCCTTCTTAATCTTTCTTAGGGTTCACAGCACCCATTGGTGTTTGCAATTTGTCCTTTTGTCTGTTTCATGTCTGTCTCCCCAACAGACTGTAAGATCCAGGAGGGAAGCAACCTCATCTCACTGTTTCCTCAGCACCCAGCACAGTACCTGGCATAGTAGGTGCTCAGTTAATATGGGCGGGGGGTGGGCTTTCCTGCTGCCTGCTTTCTGCTCTGCTTCCTCCGTCCCCGTGTTAAGCTGGAGAAGGGGGCTGGGGGAGCAAGAACAGTGGCCTTTCTCCAGCTTCCCTGAGCCTGGGAGTGGGGTTAAATGCAGGGAAGAGACGGGAGGTGTCTCTAATTCTCCATCCCAGCCTCCCCAAGCCCACCCATTTCTGTCACATCAGCCTCAGCTGACAACCTGGGTCTCTTTCTTGTAAGATCCTGAGGAGAGAACAGTGACTCCTGCCTCCATTCTGTTGCACTTCAACCCAACTGCCCCTCCACCACTCCCACAAATGTATTTCCTTGGTTTGCTGCTTAATTTTTAAATTGGGTTTTCTGAGACGATGTTCAGACACAGTGGATTAGAGCTGACAGTTGAATAGGTGCCATGCTGTACATGAGATGGCATCCCCTGGGGCTGGAGCTCTGCAGCCAGACCTGGCTCCAGGACTTCCTCGTTCGCTGTGTGACCCTAGGCCAAACCTCAACCTCTCTGGGCCTGCTTCCTCAACTGTAAAACTGGGGTGACTGGACCTGCCTACTAGAGCTGACACCGTGGGTTTACAGCACTTGGCATGTTGCTTGGCACTAAACGGCTATTTTTTTTAATTGTTATATTTTGTTATGAAGGCTCCTGAAGGCAAAAGTCCAGAAGCCTAGTTCAGGCTCTGCCATTCACTGCTGACCTTAGCAAGTCCCTTTTCCTCTCTGGAGCTAAGTTTCCCCACCTGCAAACCCTGCGTGTGTGCATGTGTGTGTGTGTGTGTGTGTTTTGGGGTGTGTGTGTGTGTGTGTGCATGTGTGTGTGTTTTGGGGTATGTGTGTGTGTGTGTTTTGACGTGTGTGTATGTGTTTTGATGTGTGTGTGTGTGTGTGTGTGTGTGTGTGTTTTGGAGTGTGTGTGTGTGTGTATGTGTTTTGATGTGTGTGTGTGTGTTGGGGTGTGTGTGTGTGTGTTTTGATGTGTGTGTGTGTGTGCATGTGTGTGTGTTTTGGGGGGTGTGTGTGTGTGAATGTGTGTGTGTGTTTTGGGGTGTGTGTGTGTGCATGTGTGTGTGTTTTGGGGTGTGTGTGTGTGTGTGCATGTGTGTGTGTGTTTTGGGGTGTGTGTGTGTGTGTGTGTTTTGATGTGTGTGTGCATGTGTGTGTGTGTTTTGGGGTGTGTGTGTGTGTTTTGGGGGGTGTATGTGTGTGCATGTGTGTGTGTTTTGGGGTGTCTGTGTGTATGTGTGTTTTGACGTGTGTGTATGTGTTTTGATGTGTGTGTGTGTGTGTTTTGATATGTGTGTGTGTGTGTGTGTTTTGGGGTGTGTGTGTGTGTGTGTGTGTTGGGGTGTGTGTGTGTGTGTGTTTTGATGTGTGTGTGTGTGTGCATGTGTGTGTGTTTTGGGGTGTGTGTGTGCATGTGTGTGTGTTTTGGGGTGTGTGTGTGTGTGCATGTGTGTGTGTTTTGGGGTGTGTGTGTGTGCATGTGTGTGTTTTGGGGGGGGTGTGTGTGTGTGTGTTTTGATGTGTGTGTGTGTGCATGTGTGTGTGTTTTGGGGTGTGTGTGTGCATGTGTGTGTGTTTTGGGGTATGTGTGTGTGTGTGTGTGTGTTGACGTGTGTGTATGTGTTTTGACGTGTGTGTGTGTGTGTGTGTGTTTTGGGGGGGTGTGTGTGTGTGTATGTGTTTTGATGTGTGTGTGTGTGTGTTGGGGTGTGTGTGTGTGTTTTGATGTGTGTGTGTGCATGTGTGTGTGTGTTTTGGGGGTGTGTGTGTGTGTGTGCATGTGTGTGTGTGTTTTGGGGTGTGTGTGTGCATGTGTGTGTGTTTTGGGGGGTGTGTGTGTGTGTGCATGTGTGTGTGTGTTTTGGGGTGTGTGTGTGTTTTGATGTGTGTGTGTGCATGTGTGTGTGTGTTTTGGGGTGTGTGTGTGTTTTGGGGGGTGTGTGTGTGCATGTGTGTGTGTTTTGGGGTGTCTGTGTGTATGTGTGTTTTGACGTGTGTGTATGTGTTTTGATGTGTGTGTGTGTGTGTTTTGATATGTGTGTGTGTGTGTGTGTGTTTTGGGGGGTGTGTGTGTGTGTGTTGGGGTGTGTGTGTGTGTGTGTGTGTTTTGATGTGTGTGTGTGTTTTGGGGTGTGTGTGTGTGCATGTGTGTGTGTTTTGGGGTGTGTGTGTGTGCATGTGTGTGTGTTTTGGGGTGTGTGTGTGTGTGCATGTGTGTGTGTTGGTGTTTGGGGTGTGTGTGTGCATGTGTGTGTGTGTTTTGGGGTGTGTGTGTGTGTGTGTGTTTTGACTCCAGCAGCTAAAGAGAGAGTTTTGGGCTCAGCACAAAAGAGACACTTTAAAAAAACAAAGAACCAAGGAGACGCTTTTAACAAACATCAGGCTGCATGTAAGGTAGTGAGCTCCCCGTCACCTCTAGTGCACTGTGCAGAATGCCAGAGCGGGAAGGAACCTTAAACAGCCAAGCCTCTCATTTTGAAAAAGACACAGAATAACACAGACCTAGGAGCTTACGACCCCCTGCCTGCCCGCCTGAGGCCCCGTCCATCACACCACCTGCTGGATGTCCAGAACAATCACCCAGAGAGCCTGGGTGAGACATGCCTGGGGTCAGCTATGGGCCTGCTACCAACTCGCTGTGTGCCTTGGCAAAGGTGCCAGCTGCTGCCAGTGCCCCTGCCAGTGGCAGAGGGGAGTGGGTGGACGAACAGCCCAGCCCCCCACCCCCACTTTGCAGGGACCCCTCCAGGCATACACGGTGCACGGCTTCCCAAAGCTGCTGGCAGGGGCAGGCAGCAGGTGCCGGCGCCGGTGCTGTTTGAGAACACCCTCTGCTGCCTCCTGCCCGCCCTGCCTCACTGCCCGCTCCCCAAGCAGGGCTTCCTGGGATCCCCTCTAAATCAACGCATTGCACTTGAGTCCCTGTGCGGAGTCAATGAGTTAACAAAGTACTCACAATGGCAGTAGGCTTGTTTCATAAGTAAAAAAAAAAAAAAGAGATAAAGAACCTTTACTTATATAAAACTCCACCCCTCCTGTTCCAGCCTCCTCAGCAAATACAAATACTAGGTTTAAACAATCTTTGGGACGCACACACACACATTACTCAGCGTGCGGTCCGGGCCAGCGTGCAGGCGACAGGTGCCTGGTGCCTGCGTCAGGAACGCCCAGCTCAGCCAGATCTCAGGGCGAAGCTCTCCCTCTGGTCTCTGTGGCTGCCAGCCACGGTGTCTGCGAGGCACAGACCGGCCCCAGCCGGGTCTGGAGCCAGTTTATTCTGGGGACCCACGCCTACCAGGGCCCCAGCAAACTGTCACTGTGTGGGAATCACCGTTTTTCGTGTGCTGCTGGCACCCCCACTTGACTAAGCGCCCTCCACAGCGCAGGTCCTGCTCCTGTCCGCCTAATGGGGCTGTTGAATGGACGGCACCTCTGGGCTGATGACCACGCCTCCGGGACCGGGCTTTCCCCTCCGTCCCCCAAAGCTCCCCAAGCGTCCCCGCTGCTTCGTTAGTTTCTAGGCTCGGCGTCCAGTCCAGTGACATGGCAGCAGCTGGTCCCGGGGCCGGGCAAGACGTGGGCAGCCAGGTGACCAGGTGGACAAGCAGGCCTTGGGCGGCATGACAGGGGCAGTGCGCGGGGAAGCGTGGACCGATCAAGAGGCCAACAGCTCGCTCACAAGCCCAGGTGCCCGGAGGCTCTGGGGCCCTGCAGGTGGCTCTGTGGGCCCCGCTCCCGTGCCTCCGGCCACGGCCCACGCCGAGCTCTGTCAGTGTTGAGGACAGGGTCCAGCCTCTGTGGCCCGGGGCCCGACAGCCTCACTTCTCACGGGCTTCTCCGAGCCTCGGCCACGCCAGCCTGGCTGCCCTCTGGAGGGTGGGGGGGTTTCACAGGCAGGGCCGAGGCACACACAGCAACGGGCGCACACCTAGGACGCACTCATGCCTGTGGGCCCCGTGGAGAGCATGGCCACCATTTGGGGGGCCTGGCTTGAGCTCTGAGCATGGCTGGGGCCCGGCTGGAAGAACAGGGGGGCCTTGCCCTCCTCCGAGACACCCAAGGGTGCCAGGGAGGCCGGAGGGAGGCTGGCCTCCAGCAGAACCCCGCCTGGCAGGGGGTTCCCCAGGGGCTCGAAGCTGCCTCCACAGCGGCAGCCACAGCAGCGGGGGGCCACACCGTGGGCCTCGCCTCGCTCCTCCTGGCCGTGACACTGCTTCAGGTGGCCGCACAGGTGGCAGGTGAGGGCCGAGTAGACGATGCCGCTGCCCAGGTCGTCCCCGAGGGGGGCCGTGGCCTGCTCCAGGGCGAGCAGGTGCTTCTGGCTGTCCTTTCCCTGTGCCACTGGCTCCAGACCCGGGCACTCCAGGGAGCCGCTGGGGAGAAGCGAGTTCTGAGGGCTGGGAGGTAGCCCCATGTCCAGCCCAAAGGTGAACAGGGGGACAGGGGCAGGCACCCCAGGGCTGCCAGGAGTGAGGCCCTGGAAGGGCCTGTAGGCCCCCTCCCCGCTGCTGGCCTCCACCCCAGGTGGTGCTGGGCACACGGCACTGCTGGCCAGCAGGCTGGAGAGGGCCTTGTACCCGGCTTCTCCGGAAGGGCCGCCCGCCTCGCCGCCCTGGGCGCAGCCCTGCCTCACCGCCTGCGAGAACTGCCGGTAGCCCCCGGGGGCCGAGGCGGGGGCGGCCGCCCTGTGCTGGAGGACGCTCCACCGGAGGCCCTGCTCCCAGGTTTCTGGCTCAGGCTGGAGCGCAGCGGGTGGCTCAGAGCCCCGGGGAGCAGAGAGGACGTTGGGGTCCCCGTCCTCCCAGCGTTCGGCCAGCTGTGAGTCTGAGTCCAGCTCTCCAGGACCCGAGGGCGGGCACAGCAAGCTGCTGAAGCTGCGGTACGCAGGGCTGTCGGTGATGGTGGCTGCGGGCAGCTCTGCGACAGCCAGGCAGGCTGGGCTCTGCGTCCGAGTGGCTGGGGGCGGCTCTGGGTCAGAAGGCTGCCCCCTGCCCCAAAGTGAGGCCTCCTGAGGCGCCTCACCTGGTAACTCAGCCCAAGGCACCTGAGCACCCACACCTGCTGAAGGAGGAAGAAGGCAGGGCTCTCCCGAGCCTGCCGGGCAAAAGCCCCCCTCCGCGCCCCCGAGGAGGTCCAGGAGCAGGCTCTCGGTCAGCCGGGCCGCGATGCCCGCCCTGCCCTCCTGGAAGCTGCCGCCGCTGCTCTCAGGCGAGGGGCAGAAGCTCCCTCCATCTTCCTCCACCGGCTCCTCCTCCTCACTCTGCACCGGGGCCTCGAGCAGCTCCACGCACTTCACCACGCTGATGCTCTCCGGCCAGAGGACCGTGCTGCTGACCTCCACGGGGCGCCAGGCTGGTTTCCCAGGGCCCTGGACAGGCCCGCTCCTGGCCACCTGGGAGGAACCATCACCCCTTTCCACGCCAGGCTCCAGTAAGCAGGGCAGGAGCTTCGTCAGACACGGCTTCCAGTATCTGCAAGAGCAAAGTGTGGTCAGGGCTCAGCATCTCCACTTAAAAACTCCTACTCATCCCTCAAAACCCAGCTGGAAGCCACCCTGGACTGATGCCTACCTATTGCAGACGTGCCTCCTGGCTTTACAATCACTGCCTCTCCGTCTTCCCCATGCCCGCCCTGGGAGCTCCTGGAAGGCAGGGGCCCTGCCTGCCTTCGGGATGTCTGGAGCTCAGCACATAACCTGGGACCACTACAAGCTCAGACTATTGAATAAACCAAAGTCTTTGTCGGGATGATAGGATTTAAAACACATATCAACACACAGCATAAGGAATGCCCACTCAGGATGGCTGCAGGTCCAGGGCTCCCAGCTGTGCCAGGTCTAAACTTTAGCTACTGCCCTGTGGGAGGTCCAGAGGCCCTGAGGGGGCGCTAGGAGGCTAATGTGATGGTCGCATCCTCAGGGTTTGGGATAATGGAGCTTGCCAACCAGTACGCAATTACGTCAGCACTTTAACATCGGGCACAGCTGCCCAGGTACTTGGCTCTACAGCCTCGCTCAGGCCAGAGTACACCCCAAGGGGCTCAGCACCTGCCTGACCCACCAGGGAAATTCAGGGGCCCAGCCAGCAGCCACCTTCCCAGACCGCTCCTCCTCCTGCTACGCCTCGAAGGAACAGGGCTGAATGCCAAGGAAGGGAAGGCAGACATGGAGGGGCGAGGGACCCCACTCTCAAGATGGGGCCCACCACGCCAATCCCCCCCTTCCAAATCCACACAGGCCATGACCGAAGTTCATATACATACGGGCACTTGGCTGGTTCCTGGCCCCCGGGCCTCTTCCCCCGCGGTGGCACCTGAAACGCAGAGACAGCCAATGAACAGGGCGGAGAGGCCTCCCGCCAGCCTGGCCACAGCGAGCTCCGTGTTCGCCGTGGGAGGACTGTAGGCCCTGACGTCACCCGGGTCGGAGGTCAGACCAGGTCACTGCCGCTCCCGGAGCCTCAGCCCCTGGGAATGAGTGAGGCCGCCCTAATATTAAGTTGCTGTGGCTGAAGGCAAAAATGGCCACTGTCACCTGCAGCTTCTCCACCCCTTGGACCTGGCCTGGCCTTGGGACTTGCTTTGGGCAACAGAAAGTGGTATAAGTGGCACCGCGCCAACGGCCCAGCCTGCGGGAGGATGGGACGCACGGCTGAGTCACTCCGCACCTGTGCGTGAAGCCGCTGGGGGCAGCCAGCCCAGAGAGCTGCCCTGCCCTGCCCAGCCCAGACCCCCCACCCGACGCCCCTGCTGAGCGCCCTGCAGAAGCAAGAGCTACAGATATGGCTTGTTTCAACCAAGTTTCGGGATAATTCGCTACACAGCAAAAGCTGGCTGATACAGGGACGATGCTGACTCTGTGCAGGGCCCTGTGACACACACCTTACATGTACTGTCCCGGTGAATTCCAACCATTATATAAACACTACGACAACCCACACGAGAAAACCGAGGCTCGGAGAAGGTAAGCCACTCGCTCACACCCCATCCACTCTGCAGGTGAGTCGCAGAGCCGGGTTCAAAGTCAGCACCACCGACTCCAGAGCCTGCCTGAGGGTCGCTGGAGACCTGAAGGCCCTGCACCCCCTGCCTCCTTCCTGGAGAACCCCGATGAGCTCAGGCAACCCACACGTGGCCATCGCTCAGGGCTGGCCACCCGGCCGGCCCACGGTATCCCCACTCCTTGCAGGTGAAGGTTTAGGAAAGAGCACGTGATGCCACTCAGGCCAACGAGAAAGGAGGAGATTTGCTGGCACTTTGGCGGCAGTTTCCTGTTCGTAAGAGGAACACACAGGAGCCGTGTCCCCCTCTCCCTGGCCTCTTGGCCTCCTGCCCTGGTACAGGTACCTCCCCAGGAGGTGACATGCAGATGACCTCAGGGGCCAACTCCTCCCAAGGGAGGGAACCCACCCAAGGCTGAAAAGGTGGCTCTGAAAGCCGAGGGGAGGGGGCAGCCTCTGGGCCCCCGATGACCACACTGGGCTGCAGAACCGACCAGCGCTGAGACCTTCCTGACGGCTCAGGTGCAAATCCAAAAGCCAGTGCATATCTTTAACATCCCAGACACCTGAATCCTAGTTCCCGATAGGAGCATCCACAGCATCTGGACCAGCCCTCTCCTACCTGAGGCTCCTGGATGACAGCCATGAGGGAGCTGTGGGCCGGGCTGGGGATGTGGTCCCACCATTCTTTCTTAATCCTGAAAAAGGAAAGGAAAACGCCTTGGTCTCTCTTCCCATAAAAATGATCATATGGCCAGTACTTCCTAGGGGTCAGGACCATGTTGATTGGTTCACCCTAAGCCCATGGAACAGGTCCTACTGCCAACCCCATTCACAGATGAGCACACTGAGGCTCACAGGGCTGAAGGGACAGCTGGCAGCAGAAGAGCCGGTTCCTGCCCCAGCGTTCTGCTCCCAACTCGCTGCCTCTGTCCTCAGTGGAACGAGCCCAGGGAAGTAGGAGGGACTCAAGCTGCAGAGAATCCGGGGTGTGCCCATCAGCAGTCCCCCACCGAGCAGCTCAGAGTCCGGCCAGGGGAGGCCTGGGAGGCCTGAGAAGCCGAGGAGACCCTGGGGGAAATAGGCTCCTTCCCTCCCCTGGTCGGCCTGGAGCCATGGAGTGCCAGCTCTGAGGGAAGGCCCTCAGATTGCCCCTGGATCGGCCTCCGCTGACTCCACTCAGCCAGTCAGCATGTCCACACTGAGCGCCTACTATGCACCACTCACTGTGCCAGGCCTCGGGGACACAACAGTGAGCAAGACAGACAAAAGCCCAGCCCTCACGTAGCTGACCTTCTAGAAGAGGAGACAGATAGAAATAACTATAGGACATTAATTATGGCATCAAGTGCCATGAGAGAAAATAAAGAAAACAAAGAAATAGAGAGGAATGGAGGGAGTGATCCAGGAAGGCCTCCCTGAGGAGGTGGCCTCTGAGTGGCGACTGAAGGTGGAAGAGGAGCGAGTCATGGCGATGCCAGGGGAAAGGGCTTTCCAGGTAGGGGCACAGTGAGTGCAAAGGCTCGGAGGGAACTTGCTTGGTGCGTTCAAAGAACAGCAAGAAGGCTGGAGTGCTGGACACACTGAGTGGGGCTGGGAGGACAGGTGATGGGGAAACTGAGGCGCAGAAAGGGGGAAAGACCAGCCCACGATGACTAGGAGGTGTCGGTGACAAGACACGGAGAGGAGAGCTTGCAATCCCTCCACACTCGCTGTGTGCCCAGCAGAGTGCGGGACACTCGCTCAGTCAATCCTTGGCCATCACTAATCCTCCCATAGTGAGGTAAGGCTCATTAGTCCCATTTCAGAGATGGGAGGACTGAGGCTCTGAGACACCCTGTTTCTTAGGGCTCACACTCACTGGAAACTAAGCTCCTTCTACCTAACAGCGCACTGTGATCCAAGACTCTCTTAGACTCTTAGGACTGACGAAATACGTTCTCCCTCTCTCTCAGCCTGCAAAGGAGGAGCCAGCCACACAGCTACCAGCGCCAGGGCCAGAACCCGAGCCCAGGTCTCCCGACTCTGTCAGGGGAATCGGCTAGAATTCCACGGTCTATGGTCACCTGCCCCCAACTGTCTGGACCATACCCCGGGCAGGACCCGCCTCCCTTTCCCAAGGGAAGGCCCTTCCCAGCCCCACGCTGGCCAGCTCCTTCCTCCAGTCAGGCCTCAGCTCAAATATCCCCTCCTCCCACCGGACACAGCGCCCGGGACACCTGTGCCCTGCGCCCGTTGTTTCCCTCAGCGCTTGGGCTGCTGTGGAAAGCGCCGTGGCTGTTGCAGACCTGACATCTGTCTCCCACAAGGAGCACAGAGCCCTGCAGGTTTTGTTTCAGCTGTCGCCTCAGTGCCTCGCACGCAGTAGCTGCTCAATCAACATTTATGGTTCAAGGAGGACTGCAAGCTGACAGATGAGCGGAGGGACTCCTGCCCACTCCCACCCAGGGGGCCAGCCCAGGACTCACTTGAGGATGCTGAAGTAGCAGGACAGGCAGACGACCATGATGACGATGCAGGAGATGCCGACGGCAAGTGGGAGGTGCTGCTCCCAGGGCAACTCATAGTCTGGAGGTGGGAGGGATGCCGTGAGCCCGCATTGCGCTAAGTACAGCCCGGTCCCCATTTCCCAGGGCTGGAGACCGGAGCCGCAGGACAGTGTGTCCCAGACCCCGCATGATCGGGCCACCCCCAAGCCCTCCCGCCTCAGCCCCTGCTGCCCTCCCCTTGCACCCTGAGCCCTCGCCACACGGGCCCCCTGGCTGCCCCCTGCTCCTCCACGCTCAGTGCCAGCTCAGGATCTTGCACTTGCTGCTCTTCCTGAAGCACAGAGGTCAAGGGCAGTGACTCTGGCCCTGGATGACCTGGGTTCAAAGCCTGGCTCTGGCGTATCCTCACTGGTGGCCCGGGACACGTCCCTCACACTCTCAGTGCCTCAGTTTCCTCACCGGTACAATGGGGTTAACAACAGTGCTCACCTCACAGGGAGATGTGAGGGTCACGCGACTCACTACCCACCGCACTCAGAGCAGTGCCTGCAGGCCCACAGCTGTTATCACCTTCGCACAGCGGGCTCCTTCTCCTCGTCCCCTTCACCCTCGCCAGCTCCAAACCCACCCCCCCCACACACACCCTCTCTACCATTGCCCCTCTCATCACTCCGTCCCCTTTCCCAGAGACCGACTGCCCTCTGGGTCTAGATCGATCTGATTTCCTCTTTTCTGTATGTTTATTTTCTGTCCCCCCGCCCCCGAGTGCCAGTTCTAGAAGGACAGGATTTCTGTCTGTTCTGTTCCCTGAGCTGCTGTATGAACCTGGGAAGGTCCACATGTACGATAATCCATTTTATATGGGAAAATTCAACATTTCTACTGCAAAAGCCACGTGATAAAGTTGCAAAGAGTTGTTTTGGGGATGCAGCTACAAGTGAGGGCTACATTTCCCAGAATCCCTTGCAGCTATGTGTGGCCATGTGGCCAGTTTCACCAATAAAACGTGAAAAGGAGTAATGTGTCACTTCAGGCTAAGGTTTTTTTTAAATATATATATATTTTTTACATTGATTTTAGAAGGATAGGAAGGGAGAGAAAAAGAGAGACAGAAACATTGATGAGAGAGAAACATTGATCAATTGGCCACCTCCTGCATGCCCCCCACTGGGGATTGAGCCCGCAACCCGGGCTCGTGCCCAGGCCAGGAATTGAACCAGTGACCTCCCGGTGCACGGTACAATGTTCAACCAGCCAGACCAGGCTAAGGTTTTTAAGAAGCAGGTGTGGTCTCCCTGCTCTCCTTCCTCTTTGGTTGGATGCAGACAATGGCAGGGCCCTTAGAGATCCTTAACTTGGGGTCCACAGACCTCGAACAAGGTTGCAGACAGAATTCAGAGCTCTGGGACTTGGATGGGAAGGAAATGACATGTTTATTTTCACTCACTTCTGACACCTCGCATTTCCTCCCATTAGGAATGGAGGGAGCAAACCACGGTGAGAGCATCACCAGTCACTCAGCTGCCGACAGAAACCACAGCTGTTCTCCTACCACATTGCGGCTGCCAGATCACAAAATGTCACCTATCTCATCCGCTTTCCAGTGACAGCGTTTATAGAACTGCCTTCGCTCCTGGTTCTAATGTGTTAACAGAGGAGCATATATTCCCAGATCACAAGTATATTTAAAACATTTTTATAATTGCATTTCAGTAAAACTAGTTTCCCCTGTAACCCTCTGTGCTTTATTTTATACCTTTAAAAACATTATTCTGAATGGGTCCTCAGGCCTCCCTGACCGCCAAAGGGTCCATGACACAAAAGGTCAATCATCTCTGTCCTGAGAGATGGAGCCGCGGGAGGAAGACCGCCCACAGACCGGCACAGCTCACGTTGGACTGTTACTCAGCAAGAAGCACGTTTCCACGTGTGAAAGCTCGGACCGCGTGGGCGCCTGTTACTGCAGCCTCGCCCGCCCGCTGGGCCAGGGCGCCATGCCCGTCCTTCCTCTGTTACCTGCCGTGGCGGCGTCCTCGGACGGAGACCCAGATGCTCGGCCAGGGCCAGTGTCTGGGCACAGCGTGAGGTGGGGGGGATTCTAACTGCTCAGCACTCACCACGGATACTCACCGTGAAGCCACTGGACGCGGGGGCTCCACTCGCTCCACAGGCTGTTGTAGTCCCGGGCCCGGGCCCGCACCCGCGCGCTGTAGAGGGCCCCGGGCCTCAGGGTGCTGGCTGGGACGCGGAGGGTGCGCTCCGTGTAGGTCACATTGCTGACGAGGAACTGGGGAGGGGGAAGACATCACTGCACAGCTGGGGGCGGCGGGACCACTCGCACTCGGGCTGCTGTCCGCGGCTGACCCCACCGTGAGTAAGAGCCAGCAGCCTGGTGTTCGGTCATTCCTCCAGCCCAGGCATTGTTTGGCACCTCCATAGCTGTGACCGGACTTGAGGGAGAGGGGTCAGGAAACCAGCCCCCAATACCTCCACTGACCAGCCCTCTGACATGACTGGGGCGGGTCGATGAACCTTTCTGAGTGCTAGTTTCCTCATCTGTAAGTTGAGGGCAAGGGTCCCTACTGTCACTTTCGGGCTGTGTGACCTTAGGTTAGTGACAGAACCTCTCTGGTCCTCGATGTCCTCTTCTGCAATGAGGATAATAAACGTGCCTGCCTCCCAGGGTGGCTGTGAGGAGTAAATGGGTTGATGCAGGGAAGCGCTGAGGACAGGGCCTGGCACGCAGGGAGCAGGATGATCTTTCCGAAGCACAGAGTCACCGGCCCCTCACTCCCTCATGGGCTCTCTAGGGCAGGGGTCCTCAAGCTACGGCCCGCGGGCCACATGCAAATACAAATATTGTATTTGTTCCCGTTTTGTTTTTTTACTTCAAAATAAGGTATGTGCAGTATGCATAGGAATTTGTTCATAGTTTTTTTTAAACTATAGTCCGGCCCTCCAACGATCTGAGGGACAGTGAACTGGCCTCCTGTTTAAAAAGTTTGAGGACCCCTGCTCTAGAGCCTCACGTCCAGCCCAGTCACATGGCCCCAAACCTCAGCCCCGCCCACCAGCCCAGTCACATGGCCCCAAACCTCAGCCCCGCCCACCAGCCCAGTCACATGGCCCCGAAACTCAGCCCCGCCCACCAGCCCAGTCACATGGCCCCAAACCTCAGCCCCGCCCACCAGCCCAGTCACATGGCCCCAAACCTCAGCCCCGCCCACCAGCCCAGTCACATGGCCCCAAACCTCAGCCCCGCCCACCAGCCCAGTCACATGGCCCCAAACCTCAGCCCCGCCCACCAGCCCAGTCACATGGCCCCAAACCTCAGCCCCGCCCACCAGCCCAGTCACATGGCCCCAAACCTCAGCCCCGCCCACCAGCCCAGTCACATGGCCCCAAACCTCAGCCCCGCCCACCAGCCCAGTCACATGGCCCCAAACCTCAGCCCCGCCCACCAGCCCAGTCACATGGCCCCAAACCTCAGCCCCGCCCACCAGCCCAGTCACATGGCCCCAAACCTCAGCCCCGCCCACCAGACCAGTCACATGGCCCCAAACCTCAGCCCCGCCCACCAGCCCAGTCACATGGCCCCAAACCTCAGCCCCGCCCACCAGCCCAGTCACACGGCCCCAAACCTCAGCCCCACCTACCAGCCCAGTCACATGGCCCTGAATCTCAGCCCCGCCCACCAGCCCAGTCACATGGCCCCAATCTCAGCCCCACCCACCCAGCCCTCACTGAGAAGTCTTCCAGGATCTGTAGCTAAGTGGACAAGGTAAGATGAGGAATAGAATGTGTTGTCTGCTGCCTGTTGTGCTAAAAAAAATGGTGTCAGACGGACTCTGAGGGCCTCAGGATCCCCCCTTGCATCTTGCCCTTGTGGGGTCCCTCCCCTTGAGTGTGGGCAGGACTGTGACTTGTTTCTCACCGACAGAACATGCAAAGGTGATGGGTGTGTGGGACCACACGCCGTGATTACATCATTCCGACTCCCAGGACGCCCTCCCTCCCCCTGGCTGGCTGGGAGAAGGCCACGAGAGGGAAGAAGGGAGGATGGCCTCCTGCCAAGGGCCAGCAAGGACCTGAGACTCTCGGCCCAACAGCCCACAGCACACGGATGCTGCCAACATCACAGGAGCCTGGGAGCCATCCCTCCCTGTGAGCCTCAGGCGAGACCGCAGCCCTGGCCACGCGTGGCTGCTGCCGGGGACCCAGCGAGGCCGTGCCCAGACTCCTGACCCCCAGAAACGATGGGGCAGCAGATGTGTGCTGTTTGAAGTGTGGTGACATTATGTGCAGCATGGAAGGCTGACGTGGAGTAAAGTGAACATCACACCTGCACAGATGTAAACTCTGCAAGGACACACCTCAGGCCTCTGCCGGCTCCAGCGGCCTCCCGCCCCTCCCCGCCCGAGGCAGAGCCGGGGCCAACCTCTGGGAAGAGGGACTGGAGGCTGAGGTTGGAAGAGAAACACATTCCATGCTAAGTCCTTTTCTACCATTTGCATTTTTTACTTCATGTAAATAGTACTTTTTAAAAAAAACTTTAAAAAATAAGATGAAATGAAATCTGCGTTCAAGATAAATTCTGCCGGCGAGTGGGTGGCCTGAACCCTGTGCCTGGGGTCCTCTCCCCGCCGGTCCCTCTCTTCGCGGCTCTCCCTCCTCCTCTGGCCGCTGCAGCCCCTTCCCGGCCGGCCGCTGGCAGCTCGGCTTGGAGGCGGGAGCGAGTCGGGGGAAATGTCTTGTGTGAAGTGAGCTGAGGGAGGCTGCACATTGAGGAGGCACAACCTCAGCAGGTTCTGGAGGAACTGGGGGGAAGCGGAGCTTTCCCGGGGAGCAAGGGGGTCTGGGACAGGACGACAATGTCCTCCTTTCTTTCTAAACATGAGAAGTTTGAGCTGGAAGCAGCAGCTGGATCTGGTTCCCCACAGGAATCCGACACCCTGGAGAGCGGGGATTGGGAAATGGGTCCTGAGAAACGAGAGAGCCGGGGCCTGTGAGGGACGGCCGGTGGCGGCTGGTGTTTAACAAACAGGCCGCTGTCGGGGAGACCGCGTCTGAGAGGACGATCCTGGGCAGGGACAGAGCTCGGCTCTGGAGTTTAAGTCCTGGCCTCGAAGCCCAGCTCTGCCTCCAGGTGAGACGTGGGGAGGGTGTCTCACAGCCTCTGCCCCACCAACAAGAAGCCGGACCTGACTTCTGAGGCCTGGGGCAGCCCTGAGCCCCTACGTGCCCATGAGCCCCAGCCAGGCACAATGACCAACTCTGTCCACCGCCAGAGCCTGGCCAGGCCCTGTTTCCCGTCCCCAGTCTGCTTTGGGGAGCCACCCCTCGCCTCCCCTCTGGCTCACTCCCAGCCCATCGGCCTGGGTGGAGCTGACCCCACCTGCAGCTCCAGAGGTGGGCATGTGACTCCCCCTGGCCGATCAGAGCACAGCCCAGCACCCTCTCTCCAGCCCACAGCCTGTGATGGGTCAGAGACTGGCCAATGGCCCAAGCCAGGCAAGTGAGCATCGAACTGGTCCCAGGACATTTAATGAGAATCACCTCGACAGAAGAGCTTTGGGACCTACGCCTGGAGCTGCTCCTGGGCACGTCGGCCACATGAGGGAAGAGCCTGCCTGAAAAGGGAGCCAACGGGGAAGAAAGCAGGGCCGAGTGACAGAGAGATTCCTGGGGCCTGGGTCCAGCCGTGATAAGCAAATAGGTAAATGTCTTTTACCCTATCTCCCCCTCCCCGCCCCAGACTATACCCTGAACAGGCACAGCACCCGGGAGGACTGATGGACAAAGCCGGACCGCCTCTCCCCACCTGCTCCGAGCCTCGCAGTGTGTGCGCCCCATTCCTGCTCCTACCCCACATCCTGGCCCACAGCCAAGAAGGAATCATGCCTGAGAGCCGGAAATCGGCATCACCAGCTCCCGGTGCCAGGAAGAGGAGCAGCAGCAGCAGCAGAAGCCGACGTGGAGCTTCATACGTCTGGGCCTGCACCTGGCCGCCGCGGGAGGCCGGCCTGGGCCCAGGACACGGGGCATGGCTCAGCGCGGGCCTCGACACTCTGGCGGAGGGGTTACAGGCCGGGCACGGGGTGGGGGCGGGAGGGGAGGGGAACGACGGGGCTTCCAAGGCCGTGGCCGTCGGGAGAAAAGGAGGATGTTTGTAACATCCTTTGTGCTGGGCATGGGAGCTTAGCTGTGTCACCAGCCCCATGCTCTCAACAGCCCTATGGGTGGTCCTCTTACCCCATGTTACCGATGAGGAGACGAGGCACAGGAGGGTAAGTGCAAGCTCGAGATCATGCAGCGGCAAGCGGCAGGGCAGGTACTGGAACCCAGTTCTGGGGGACGCCGGGCCCAGGGTGACCCCCACCCCCACCTGCAACTAAAAGAGCGGCCCCCGCCGTCCTTGTGTCCGTGCGTCTGGCCGGCCACTAATATCTACTTGATAGACGCGCACTGCCTGTGCAAGCGCCCATGGCTCATCTAGAAAGGAACCGGGCTCTGCTGGGCCCGGAAGGCAAGTATCAGACGCCACGAGTGTCACATGAACGTCACCGCAGGGAGACCCAGCGACAGCCCGAAATTATGGCTGGACTGTGTCCTCGGGGAGGCTCTGTGTTCGGGCCGCACCTCCTCCTGTGGCGGGAGGGTTACTGAGCCGGTCAGCTCCGCTGAGACGCCTGCCTTGACCAGTCAGGGTCGGGAGAGAGACGATGCTGAGTGAGGGTCTCGCGGTGGGACCCGGTCATCTGAGAGTGTCCGTCCCGGCCGCTGGGACAGCCAGCTGTGCCCAGAGCCTCCTTTACCGGGAGGAGCAGGGCCCACAAATCACGTCCCCTCTCTGCGCGCTGGGCACCAGGAAGGGGTGCTGTCAGCCGGGCTCCTCTCTGTCCCCCACCCTGGGGCGGGATCTCCGCTCCCCGAGTCCCAGGAGCTGGTGCAGAACCCCCCACAGTGCCCACTCACCTCCGTGGGGTCGTCTTCATTTGAAATGTTGACCAGGTAGGAGAGCTTGGCGTGCAGACTACCATTGGGAGGGTACGGGTCGCTCCAGGTCAGCTGCCACGTGTGGGAGTCGGTGGCGTTAACCGTGAGGTTTCCGGGGGCCCTGGGTTTCACTGGGGAGAAGCGGGGCCTGGTGAGGGCTTGTGGGCCCTCAGAACCCGGGCCATTGAGGTTCTCGGTCAACACCACCTCCGCACACATTTGTAAGGCACCACGCAGATTCAGTCATAACAGTTGCAATCCTAGCTCTCACTCTAGCGTCGCTCCACTTCTGCCTGGAGCCACAGGGAACCCAAACTTCAGCGTTTGCACCTTCGTCCTTCACACTTCTGGCTGAGTCTGTGAGCTATATTACATACTACGTATTTTTGTTTATTTTGACTCATGTGTTTAAACTTAGGCTCTTTTTAAGCAATCATATCAGTGAGATCACAAGTATATAATATGCATTAAAATCATGCCCTAGCCGGTTTGGCTCAGTGGATAGAGCGTCGCCCTGTGGACCAAAGGGTCCCAGATTCAGTTCTGGTCAAGGGCACGTACCTCCCTTGCAGGCGTCTCCCCCACCAGGGCCCTGGTCAGGGCTCCTGCAGGAGGCAACCAATCGATGTGTTTCTCTCACATCAATGTTTCTCTCTGTCTTTTACTCTCCCTAAAAATCAATGGAAAAATCCTCGGGTGAGGATTTTTTTTAAAAAGTCAACAAACACGTGTGAAAATTATCTTAATTCATGGGTTTGTTCATGGGTCAATTTGAATAACCCTGGACCACCAGCGGGATGAGCGGGCCCTTCAGGAACTGCTATTGGAGAGGTGGAGGCTGCGAAACACTGCCTCTCCTGCTCAGTAGCTGTGACCTTAGGCAGGTTATTGCCTTCTCTGCACTACAGTTTATTCAACTGCAAAATGGGCATAAGAACTCTCTTCTGGAAACTGAGGCTCAGAGAGGTAATGTGACTTACTCAAGGTCACACAGCAATAAAGGTGTTTTATTTTTTTTAGAATCTTTATTGTTCCCATTTTTCCTCATTGACCCCACCCCCGCCTCCTACCCCAGGCCTCCACCATCCTATTGTCTGTGTCCATGGGTTATGCATATATGCATACAAGTTCTTTGGTTGATTTCTTCCCACACACCCACCCTCCTCCGCCTTCCATCTGAGATCCCACACTCTGTTCCATGCTTCTGTGTCTCTGGATCTATTTTGTTCATCAGTTTATTTTGATCATTAGACTCCACATATGAGTGGATCATGTGACATGTCTTTCTCTGACTGGCTTATTTCGCTTAGCACAATACTCTCCAGGTCCCTCCATGCTGTCTCAAAAGGTAAGAGATCCTTCTTTTTTACCGCTGCATAGTATTCCGTGGTGTAAATGTGCCACAGCTTTTTTATCCACTCATCTACTGATGGGCACTTGGGCTGTTTCCAGATCTTAGCTATTGTAAGTTGTGCTGCTATGAACATAGGTGTGCAAATGTTCTTTTAATTTTTATTTTTCAAAATATGTTTTTATTGATTTCAGAGAGGAAGGGAGAGAGAGAGAGAGCTAGAAACATCAATTATGATAGAGAGTCATTGAACAGTTGCCTCCTGCATGTCCCACACTGGGGATTGAGCCTGCAACCCAGGCATGTGCCCTGGCTGGAAATCAAACCGTGACCTCCTGATCATAGGTTGATGCTCAACCACTGAGCTATGCCAGCTGGGCTATATGTTCTTTCTGACTGGTGTTTCAGGCTTCTTAGAATATATTACTAGAACTGGGATCACTGGGTCCAATGGTAGTTCCATTTTTAATTTTTGAGGAGACTCCACACTGATTTCCATAGTGGCTGCACCAATCTGCATTCCCACCAGCAGTGTACTAGGGTTCCTGTTTCTCCACATCCTCTCCAGCACTTACTGTTTGTAGATTTGTTGATGGTAGCTATTCTGATAGGTGTGAGGTGGTACCTCATTGTCGTTGTTTTTTTTTAATATATTTTATTGATTTTTTACAGAGAGGAAGGGAGAGAGATAGAGAGTTAGAAACATCGATGAGAGAGAAACATCAATCAGCTGCCTCCTGCACATCTCCCACTGGGGATGTGCCCGCAACCCAGGTACATGCTCTTGACCGGAATCGAACCTGGGACCTTTCAGTCCGCAGGCTGACGCTCTATCCACCGAGCCAAACCGGTTTCGGCCCTCATTGTTGTTTTAATTTGCATCTCTGATGATTAATGACATTGAGCATTTTTCCATGTCTCGTGGCCATTTGTATGTCCACTTTGGAGAAGTGTCTATGTAGGTCTTCCGTTCATTTTTATTGGGTTGTTTTTCTTTTGTTGAGTTGTATGAGCACTTTATATATTTTGGATATTAACCCCTTATCAGATATACCATTGGCAAATATGTTCTCTTATACAATGGGCTCCCTTTTCATTTAGATGCTGTTTTCTTTTGCTTTGCAGAAGCTTTTTATTTTATTTTGATGTAGTCCATTTATTTTTTTCTTTTGTTTCTCTTGCCCTAGGCGTTGTATCAGTGAGAATTTTGCTACATGAGATGTCTGATATTTTGTTGCCTATGTTTTCTTCAAGGATTTTTATGTTTCACAACTTACATTTAAGTATTTTATCCATCTTGAGTTTCTTCTTGTGTATGGTCTAAGTTGGTGGTCTAATTTCATTTTTTTTTTTTGCATGTATCTGTCCAATTTTCCAACACCATTTATTGAAGAGACTGTCTGTACTCCATTGTATGCTCTTGCCTCCTTTAGTGAAGATTAATTGAGTATAATGACTTGGGTCGACCTCTGGGGTCTCTGTTCTCGTCCATTGATCTATATGCCTGTTCTTGTGCCAGTACCAGGCTTTGTAGTATAGCTTGATATCTGGTCTTGTGATCCCTCTAACTTTGTTCTTCTTTCTCAGGATTGTTGCGGCTATTCTGAGTCTTTTTTTGATTCTATATAAATTTTTGGAGTGTTTGTTCTAGATCTGTGAAGTATGCTGTTGGCAATTTAATAGGGATTTCATTGAATCTATATATTGCTTTGGGTAGTATAGACATTTTAATGATGTTAATTCTACTAATCCACGAACACGGTAAATTCTTCCACTTGCTTATATCCTCTTCTGTCTCTTTTTTCAATGTTCTATAGTTTTCTGAGTACAGCTCTTTTACCTCCTTGGTTAAGTTTATTCCTGCATATCTTAATTTTTTTGTAGCAATGGTAAATGGGATATTTTTAGTTTTTCTTCTTGAGAATTCATTATCTATCTATCTATATAAAAGCCGAAGCAACCATTACGACCAAACGACCAGAACAACCCGTCAACAAGTCGCTATGACGCACACTGACCACCAGGGGGCAGATGCTCAACACAGGAGCTGCCCCCTGGTGGTCAGTGTGCTCCCACAGCAGGAGTGCTGCTCAGACAAAAGCCGGGCTCATGGCTGGCGAGCACAGCTGTGGCGGTGGGAGCCTCTCCCATGTCCGCGACAGCGAGCGGCAGCAGGCACCGCGGGGCCGGGATGAGCGGCGGCCACCTGCCGCTTCCGCACTGCTACATCCCCCGAGGGGTCCTGGATTGCAAGAGGATGCAGGCCAGGCTGAGGGACCCCACCTGTGCACGAATCCATGCACCGGACCTCTAGTTGGTGTATAAGAATGCCAACGATTTCTGGGTGTTAATTTTGTATCCTGCTACACGGCCCAAATCCTTTATTAAGTCTAGTCATTTTTTGGTGGAGTCTTTGGAGTTTTCTATGTACACTATCATGTCATCTGTGAATAATGACAGTTTTACAACCTCCTTTCCAATTTGGATGCCTTTTATCTCTTCTTCTTCTTGTCTGATCGCTGTTGCTAGGACCTCCAGTACTATGTTGAATTAAAAGTGGTGAAAGTCCTGTCTTTTTTTTTTTTTTTTTTGGAAAAAGTATTTTTATTTATTTATTTTTTTTTTTATTTAAATCTTTATTGTTCAGATTATTACATTTGTTCCTCTTTTTTTCCCCCCCCATAACTCCCCTCCTCCCAGTTCCCGCCCCACCCTCCGCCCTCACTCCCCACCCACTGTCCTCATCCATAGGTGCATGATTTTTGTCCAGTCTCTTCCCGCATCTCCCACACCCCTTTCCCCCCCAGGAATAGTCAGTCCATTCCCTTTCTATGTCCCTGATTCTATTATAATCAACAGTTCATTCTGTTCATCAGATTATTTATTCACTTGATTCTTAGATTCACTTGTTGATAGATGCATATTTGTTGTTCATAATTTGTATCTTTACCTTTTTCTTCCTCTTCCTCTTCTTAAAGGATACCTTTCAGCATTTCATATAATCCTGGTTTGGTGGTGATGAACTCCTTTAGCTTTTCCTTATCTGTGAAGCTCTTTATCTGACCTTCAATTCTGAATGATAGCTTTGCTGGATAAAGTAATCTTGGTTGTAGGTTCTTGGCATTCATCACTTTGAATATTTCTTGCCACTCCCTTCTGGCCTGCAAAGTTTCTGTTGAGAAATCAGCTGACAGTCGTATGGGTATTCCCTTGTAGGTAACTGAGTTTCTTTCTCTTGCTGTTTTTAAGATTCTCTCTTTATCTTTTGCTCTTGGCATTTTAATGATGATGTGTCTTGGTGTGGTCCTCTTTGGATTCCTTTTGTTTGGGGTTCTCCGCGCTTCTTGGACCTGTAAGTCCATTTCTTTCACCAGGTGGGAGAAGTTTTCTGTCATTATTTCTTCAAATAGGTTTTCAATATCTTGCTCTCTCTCATCTTCTGGCACCCCTATAATTCTGATGTTGGTACGCTTGAAGCTGTCCCAGAGGCTCCTTACACTATCCTCGCATTTTTGGATTCTTTTTTCATTTTGCTTTTCCGGTTGGGTGTTTTTTGCTTCCTCGCATTTCAAATCATTGACTTGATTCTTGCGCTCCTCTGGTCTGCTGTCGGGAGTCTGTATAATATTCTTTATTTCAGTCCGTGTATGCTTAATTTCTAGTTGGTTCCCCAATATAGCATCGAGGGTCTCATTAGTTTTCTTGTAGATCTCATTAAGTTTATCGGCGGCTTCTAAACAGTTCTTGAGAGACCTTAAAAGTGTGGTTCTGAACTCTATA